AAAAAAAGCATAAGAAAAAAGTGCTGAAGTTAAATCCCATGCTAAGTCATTATTTTTAAAAATACACGAAATAACATTTCTACTGAAAAATAACTATAATGTCAGGAAAATGTGCCAAAGACGTTCATGAAAATATAACCAGCTATTTTAAAATAAAACACTAAGAAAATAATGCAAGCTATGAAAAAATAACATATACTAGAATTGTAAAAAATGCAGAATTTAGGAGAGATAGCTTGAAAGAATTATAATGAAAAGAAGTATCAGTTGAGAATTGAATACTGAACTAGAATGAACACAAGGGCAAATAAGCAAAATAAATGATGTCTTTCAAGAATAGAGAATGAAAATGAGCAAAATCAGAGACCAATGAAGAAGGAGATAAAAAGGATAAAAGAAAGAAAAAGGCCATTATTAAAGAAAGGGGAAGAGAAGATCCAACATATGTATTATAGGAGTCCTTAAAAAAATAAATTAAAGCAAATAATCAACAAATACTAAAATCTATTAAGCAAGAAAACTCTCCTGAAAAACTATCTATTTTTAAAAATCTGAAAGTACATATTGGAAGAGTACATAATCTATCCAAAAATATTAATGCAGAATGCCTAACACCAAGACATAGTCTTGTTAAAGAAAAAGAAACCATTTGTGAATCTAAGCCCCCAAACCAAGTAAATTTTAACAGGGAAAAAATTGTCACAGAATTCTTAACAGCAAGACTTAGGCTGCAAAAACAAATGGAGAACCACAGTTAAGACAACCAATGAAAGAGAATGTGAACCCAGCATTATCATCGATTCAAATTTGCTTTTGACTATGAGGATCACAGACAAATGCTTATCAATGTACAAACACTCAGGAATATTTCTTCCATAATTCCTCTCTGGAAAATATTCTGGATAATGAGCATCACATTACCAAAGGAATTAATACTACTGCTGGTGTAAACCTTAAATATGTAGCTATCTATGACAGTGAGACCACATGGGAGGGAAAAAGAATAGAGAACATGACAGCTATGGCTTTGACAATGTAGATGTAGTACAACTATCAAATGGGAGTGAGTATGTGCTACATCATACCAGGTCAGTTGAGTTGGTACTGCTATTTTGAAACTGTCATACATGTAGTGTGGACAAAAAGCAAGCAAGTAATTATGAAAAAATTCTAGTTAGGTGTCTCAAAACCCAGAACACTTAATATGGAAGAATGGAAATACATCCATAAGATAAAAAAGGGTATTTTTATCATAAATTTGAATTGGTAAAGCCTAGGAAAAAAAAATAACTAACACAGTAGTAATGGACAGATTGTGGTTTTGAAATACTATTTCCCATGAAAAGAAAGCAGAGTTTCTTGGAAGTATGTAGTTATACCAGATAGATAAAAGGAAGCTAAGACAGATTATCATGGCCAGATAAAAAAGTTCAGGATCCCACCAATCCCGCTGGCCAATGACAGGAGGACAATCTGAACTGATACTACAGTTAATTGAAACCCACGAAATGTGTTTAAATTCATATGTGCAAAATACTATTTAAGAAAAAATAATTTGTTACTGCAGTAGGCAGAATAACCACCACCTTAAATATGTCCACATCCTAATTCCCAGAACCTATAAATATTTTACTTTATATAACCAAGGGGACTTTACTGATGTGACGAAGTCAAGGACCTTGAGACGGGGTGTTTTCCTGGGTTATCTGGGTGGATCTGATGTATTCACAAGGGTTTTTCTAAGAGGGATACTGGAGGCTCAGAGAATGCAAAGGGAGACATGAGGACAGAGGCAGAGGTGATAGAGGAGTGAATCTTCTATGCTGCTGGCCTTGAGGATGTAGGAGGGCACCAGGAGCCAGGGAGTGCAGGAGGCACCGAGCCCCTGGAAAACACAGAGTGGCTTCTCCCCAGAGCCTCCAAAGGAACCAGCCCTAGGTACCTGTTTTAGACTTCTCACCTCCAAAACTGCAAGAGAATAAGTTTTTATTATAGGTTTGTAGTTATTTACTATAACAATAATAGGAAACTAATTGTCACCAATTGGTTACCTTGAAAACTGGTAAGTGAAAAGTTAAGAATCAAGCATTTATCATACCTTTCCTGTATGCACAGTATCACTGGTTATCTAAAAAACAGATGCAAAGAAATGCCTGTTTGCAGTCATATTCAAAGCAATAAATGAAAAAATAAAATGTTAAAATAACATTATTTTCCAACTCCTAACGAACTCCTAGGTACAGGCATCAAACACCATTAACAGAAAATGTCACAAGAAGAAGAAAGAAGGAAAATTTCACCACCATTCGTCTTGCAGAAAAAAACAAACAAGGAAAAGCAGGAAACAAACCATGAATCTGATAAATTCTTTCTAAATATCAGCTTCACAGAAACTACAGGGAAAAGAGGGATATCAAACCTTGCCATGGGATGCCATCAACATCAAATACCAGGATTCATCCAAAAATCGTAAGGGAAGGAAGGGATGAAAATAGAATATTTAGAGATTAACAGCCATTTTAAAGCCAGAACTAGCAAAACTAAAACAAACTGTTTAGAAATGCTTCTTCAAGTGATAAACCGCTAAAGAAACACCGAGAAGAGACTACTCTAAGAATAGAGATGGTGATTAATAATTTTAAGGGGGTTGGGGGTGTATGAGGGAGAGACAGTGAAATTCCTTGTCTTGATTTGAGCAGTAGCTGCAAGGATATATGCTTTATAATAATTTATCAAACTACACTTTCGCTTTATGTAATTTTCTGTACCTGTCTATTATAATAATTGGAATGGTTTAAGCAATGGAAAAAAGGCCAACTGCATTATTATAGGAAATAATAGGTCCACTTTACCTCTGGGAAATGCCTCCTGGTATTTGCCTGACTTCCTTTCCTCCAACACACTCTTCTTCTGCCTTCCCATGCAAAACACTTGCTGTTCCTTCAGAGGAGGACATTTTTTTAACTCTAAGCTTTTCCAGATAATTATTGAATTCTGTGCTTGGATATCAACTCTTCAAAATGAATTTCTTTGTACCTTCTAGCTAAAATAAACTTCAACTTTGAGTTTTCTCATTCAACTTTATTTTTTATCATAGCACTTATCACTCACTGAAATTATCAAATCTATTTTCTTGCTCACTGACCACCTTCCCCAGAAGAGAGCATCTAACACAGAGATCCATGGGACAGGGACCTTATTTGTCTTATCGAATGTATTTCCATTGTCAAGAAGAGACCTGAAACACGGTCGGTGCTCAAAAAACATTTGTTGAATAAATGAAGGAATGGATAAAGGAATGAATGAATAAAGACCTACTAAAACCGTCTACCAACTTTTCTCTCCACATCCAGGCCCATTGGCAAATCTATTCTCTAACCACCAGAGCAATCTACCGAGAACAGGAGTCTGACTCCATTATTCCCTTGCTGAAAATTGTCCTGTTGGCTTAGTGTGGCAATGACTTCCCATAATCAGTATAATTACTCTCTGTGTCTCTGGTTTCTTTTTCTTTTTTCCATGCTTGGAAACCAGTGGCAACCTGCTGCTGGCCTCACACTTCTGATATCATAGAATTTTACCCCATGATTATGCCCATCACCTAATGTTCTTAAGTAATCCCCACTCTTATTTTCAGGAGATTCAATTCAGTTTTTTTTTCCATATCTCTTCTAGGAAAATGGCTACTGGGAATACAGTTGAGCTACAGGCAGCCTAGAATTTTTTTGTACATATTTTAATCATTGCACTTAGTTTCTGTATAAGTATCTACCTTTCTGCTGTCTCTCCATCTAGATTCTGTGTTCCTTGTGGACAAGAGCTGTCCTGCGTTCACAGCACCCAACTGTAGTTCTTGGTTTGAGATGGTATAGTTCTTGGTGTAGATGTTTGAGAATGAACTAGTGATCTATGTTACAATAATGTGTTAGTTGGCCAAGGTTTCTATAACAAAATACCACAGACCAGCCAGTTTAAAAAGCAGAAAACGTATTTCTTCACCCTTTTGGAGTCTGGAAGTTTGAGATCAGGGTGCTAGCACAGTCAGGTTCTGGGGAGGTTTTTCTTCCTTGCTTGCAGACGGCTGCCTCCTCACTGTGTCTTCACATGGTAGAGAGATGGAGCAAACCCTTGGGTGTCTGCTCTAATCTCACCGCGCTCCTATCAAACCCTAATCACCCCCCTGCAGGCTCCCTCCCCAAATCCCAGATCGGGTTTCGACATTTAAATTTCAGGGGGACAGATTCGGTCCATAGCAAATCATTACTTTAATTGAACAGCACATTGAAAATGAAGATCACATGCACTACCTCACTGAACTCTCAAAACAACTCACCAGATGTGACACATCTCTCCATTTAGAGGGAAGAAACCGAGTCACAGAGAGAACAAACAGCTTCTACCACTAGAAGCAGCTCATGCAGAGTCAGAGCTCAAACTCACGGTTTTCAGATTCCAGAAGTTTCCCATTCTCTGACCATAGTTGCAATCTCTCACCAGTTACTTGCACCTTTTTTTGGTAATAATGCTGTTTCTGAAGAAGTTTGTAAAATAAAGCACTGGTTAAGTGCATCAGGGAAGCTCCACATTTAAAGCAAAGTCAGCATCTACTGTTTTGTCAACCTAAGAATGTTTTGATCATACAAATAATGTTTTCCAAATTACTGTCTTTGCGGATTCTAATTTTTCCATATCTGCCTTGCTCATGAACATAATTGCTATTAAAAAACATACTGATTTTATCAAAAGTAAAAACTACTAATAATTGTCCCTATATGGCTAACCATAAATATAACTTGATAATTTTTTACACTTATAAGCTGTCTTCCTACCATTGTTTGCATGATAGGATCCTGCATATGGGCATAGGAATTGACTTTGTATACGTGTAAATGAAGAGGAATTAATGAATTCGTTTAATCCATTTTATTCAAGCTAAATTACATAATCAAATAATTACATGAAAGTGGGTCTCTTCCCTTTTTAAATAAAATTCAAAATTA